TCACGTCTCTCTCTCTCTCTCTCTCTCTCTCTCTCTCTCTCTCTCTCTCTCTCCCTCCCGCCCTCTTTTAAATCTTTCACGCGAAACTTTGTTTCCACGAAAATTGGACGAAAATAGAAGGTGATAAATTACCGTGAAACATAGTTTTAAACGGGGGGAAAGCTTTAAATTCGTGCCAAAGGGACGAGAGTAGACTGTAATTAACAAATCGATTTCACAGGATGTATCGCGAATCGAAAATCCGGGATATTTTCGGCCGGCGAAACATTCGTTCGTCTCTTCCGTAATAAACCACCGTAACCATTTAACCAGTGTATAAAATGTGTACAATCGAAACGTCCCGTTATTGTACACCACTTTGGGATCAAAAAAAAAAAAAAAGAAAAGAAAAAGAAAATCTCATGCTTGAATTTCAAACGTTGCTTCAAGAAGAAACGTAAATATCACACGTTCCAGATTCGTTCCAGCGCGGGGATAGTTTGAGCGAGGATAAATATTAAAAGTACCTTCCCGAGAAAAGCTCTCCTCGTACGTATCCGTCATCAGAATGTCACGACAAAAACACAGTGCCGGAAACCGGGACGAAATTAGATAGTAACCGATGTGCGTCCGCGCACCTATTCGTACGTTCATACACACAAACACACACACACACACACACACATACAGGTACGCTCGTTTGTAAGGAACATGTATGCGTATATAAGGTATAGGTGTATAAATATATATACATATATTTATGGATATAGATATAGGGGGAGTATACTTCCAAAAACCAGAATCTAAATGCAAATACACGCAGAGACAGAGGGAGGGGGAGAGGGAAACGTCGTCGGTTAAAACGGCGACGCCAGGACCGAACATCGTAATTCACGAAACTTCCTACCTCCCTGCGTCTGATAAAAAGCGTTTTCTCGCTTTTATTGATCGGCCGTCCGCTTAATAAAATCCAGATAAAACTGCTCTTCCACTTTTTTTTTTTTTTTGAACACAGGGGTCCTGGACCTGGACGCGTGCGTAGATAGGAACGAAAATGTAAACGCTTGACTCGTGGGATGAGGGGGAAAGAAATTGCAATGGAATTGGAATGGAGAACGATGCGGATGAAAACGGGGGGAATAAGGGAAGAGGGGAAAAGGAAAAGGAAATAGGTAAAAATAGGCAATCTGATAAAAGAGGGAATTCTTAAACTCTAAAGTCCTCTCGAGTCAGTGTATAAGGAAAAAGCGTCTCTTCTCGTTATAGATAGTGGGGCGTTGCATCTCTTATCAGCAAACCGGACAAGAGTACACTGTCTCTCTTGGTAAGAACAATTTTCGTTGCTCCCCTTTCCTTTCGAAGAAAGCATTATCTCCCTTTTCGAGCTGACACTTACTCCGTCCAACAGGCCGTCCAACAAAAGGAACACGCGTATCGGTCTCTATTTTATTCGATACGTTTCACTCGTATTCCCTTGCTCTCAACGTGATATATTCGTTATTGCAACGAAACGAGCAATGAGAAAATGCGGGACGGGACAACGAAGAAAAGAAAAAAGTGGAAAAAAAAGGGGGAATCGATGCTCGAATCGCATGTGCGAAAATGCGTGGAGGGAAATGCGTGGAGGATGTTGCACGAACGGAGAGGTCACGCGTTGATAAAAAAACAGGGGACAGGAAGATCGATAAGGGTAATCGAACCGGTATTTTCCCAATGCTCGCAATTGTCGAGAATATGACCGTTTACGTAAAATGCGAACAACGACACGAAGAAACGCTCTTTTATTTTTATTTTTTTTTTTTTGTTTGTTTCAATTTCATTAACCATTCAACGAAATAAATTAAAATTTAATTTATCGTCGATGTCTGGTCGAGAAACGGGTCAGGTTGTTGCTATTGTTAATCGTCGGGAATTCGCGCTAGACGCGGTGTTGGGAAAAAAAATAAAAGAAAAAAGGAACGTGAAAAAAATCGGATCGACACGATGGTCGATCACTCGGTCGGTCGGTCGATATCCGAAAATCGGGCAGAGACCGAGAACGCAAATAGCTTATATCGGTGTTTAATATCACGCTTACCGACAACCTCGAGGAACAGAAATATACTCGTGGGTGGATGGGTGGATACTTGGCACTGGTACAATCCAGCATCCCTCGGTTGAACGTATTTTATTTGAAGAGTCCAATCCTCGCTGTGGTGGAAATGAATTGCCTGGAAACGCTCGTCGTTCGCGTACGTTGTCAGTCCTACGGTGAGTAACTCCTGGACGTTCTTCCGCTTGATCCACGACACCTGGGGAACCGGGGGAAAAAAAACACTCGTTAACAAGAATAATCCCAGGCTCCCGGCCAGGATTGGTCGGTGAAATTGTGAGCCGAGAAAAAGAAGGATCTGTCTCCTGATGACAAAAGGGATTCAGTTTTATATCTCTTACATCGTACGCCTCTTTGCATGGAAACCTTTGCACGAAAATTTCGCGTTACCACGGGAACGACGGAACGCACGGCCTCCTGCCCTTTATCGCCCAACGAATTTTTCATCATTTGCTCCCTCCCCCTCCCTCCTCCCCCGTTAAATTGGAAATGTTCTTCCTCCGCTAAAAATCGCTCGATGAAAAACGAAGGGGAAGTAATTTAGCTCCCTTCTATACTCGTAGCTCGTTCTATCGACAAATGTGCGCCGTCACAGGTCCAGATTTTAATTAATCGCCGATGCTTCTCCCTGTGTACAATAATTCGCAACTATCGGATTCTATCGATGGCAGCGGGGAAACGATTTCTTCGAAATAAGCTACCTTGATATTGCTCGAAGGAACAAATAAGCTTCGTGTCTGTTCGCGACGCTCACTATTCGCTTCCACGTAATATCGAGCTCTCTCTCTCTCTCTCTCTCTCTCTCTGTCTCTCTTCGGCCTCTGCCATTGTCCGTCTATTACGGTCAGTAACTACTGTCCCGGCGGTTACTAACGCCGCCATTAGTCACGGTATTTTCTATCTACATGGCAGTGTCCATTTTGCCACGGTCATTAACTCTTCTTCTTCGTCGATCGATCCGTCTTGAATCCTCTTATCGGTATCGAAGAAAATAACCGGAGGTCTCGCAACCTTAAACTGTTCCTCGAGGAAAAATAGTTGGAAGGAAGGAAGGATAGGGGACGATATAAACGCTGCGTGTAGATAGACAATCGAATAATTTTCCAACGATATCGATGCACGCGAGTTTAAACCTTTCTATTCTATCCCACCGTTCGTTAACCAAGTCGAAAAGTTCAAGTCGAAAGTGCGACTATCGATTTGCCATCGTCCCATTCCCTAACTTTCGAGAACCGGTAAATACCGTACACGTATTACAGTCAGGTAAATGTACTACGTCAATAACGATCGGTAATTGCCCTACGCGAACTCTCACTTGATTTCGTGTAGCCGAGTGTAAGCAAGAAATGCCTCTCGACCAGAATAATTTCTACAACTGTGACGCGGGATGATTGCTCGATTCGTGACCGGAATTAATCGAGCCACGCTCGCTACCAACCACGCACCACGAGTATAGCCGCCTACGTGTTTATTCGATAAATCATCTATTATTACATTCGATTCCATCATTTTCGAGATACAACCCCCCCTTCCTCCCCCGTTACGTTTGAACCACTCCTTTAGAAAGTAGTTACTATCCATCTACCTCCTCGGCAGAGGGATCGCGAATAGATATAACAGGTAATACTGCTTAGGTAATATCAACGTACAACCGTTATTTCCCAAGTTTTAAACGACGGCACACGACTTTGACTACTCTTTATAACTTCCAAACGACCCCCCATTTCAGCGGATGTAACTTTATACGTACGTTCATATTATATATAACAGGTTGGAATTAGTAGCTCGGCACGTCACATATCGTATGCGTCGCGTATCGTACGTATCGATGAAAAAAAAAAAAAAATTCAAATAAAGAATAGTTATCTGCAACAAGGATTAGATTAAAAGTTGACGCAATGCGGGCTGGTTGGAATAAAAGGTAACCGCGCAAACGTGACGGTTTTTCGCGCTCAAAGCGTTTGCCCCCCACGAAAATATTGACGCGGGCGTACAATTTATAAAACTTACCACACCACGCGTCGGGAGTTGTATAAATAGGCGAGCCATTGTAAATGTACCGTGACTTTTATTCCAACCGACCAGGCGGCGATTCACCGACCGTTCCCTCTTGCTGCCATTTCACGCCTGCCTTTCCCCCGCTGTTCAAAAGCGCGCAACCCTATTGCAAGAAGTGCCATCAACGAGGATAATCCTTCGAGCTTGCTCGCGGTATGATGGAGTAGTTGGAATTGGCCGTGGAACGAGGGAGGGGAAAAAAGTAGAAGATAGACATCTCTCGCGTTCCTCCCACGCGTCTTTATACGTCCGTCGTAAAGTTTTAGGCACCTGGTAACGAGGGTATATTTCGCATCGTGAGAATTCTGAATTCTTCTGTGTTTGTCTCTGCGTATAATCCCGATCGAATGACGTAACGAGAGAGGGAAGAGAGTTAATCTTCTCCTTGCTCTTTGAAGGATCGGTCAATTACATCCTCCCTGCTTTTAATCTTTTAATTTACTCTGGGAAAAAAGTGGAGGGGAAGGAGGAGGAGGAGGAGAAGAAGAAGAAGAAGAGAGAAAGAAACGGAAATAATCCACCGAGCTGTACCACTTGTATCGAGGAAACGCAAGGCACTTCTGTCTCTCCTCGAAACGATATCAAACACTCAACGAGAGATTAAATGGAATGATTCGGCCACGGGGCGAGGAGAGGAATTACCTACGGCTCGAGGTAGAAAAATTGACCGTGAGATTGGAAAGGGAGGAAGAGAAGATTTGTCCTCGAACGATAAGGCTTCGCGTTAAGTCCGACGTGTCGCGAAAGACTTTCCGCGAGAATTGCTCCACTTAACCACGACCCGTTTGCTGCTCCTTCCACGCGTTTCTGCCCCTCGTTAACATGTAACGGGCATATTTCATCCCGAGACGATACTTTACGTATTCGCTTTTACATTCCGTTTTTCACAAATCTCGGCCTCCGAAATTCGATCGCCGACTTTAAAAAAAAAAAAAAAAAAAACAAGCGAAACGATTACGATTGAATAATCGCGGACCAAGCATTCGGGGATGCATCTGGAAAAATAATGAGAAACGAGACGCGGGGTGACACGATGTAAAACGGGACGGAAGAAAGTGGTATGGAAACCGCTGGGGACGGTTGCTCACGTACACTCGAAATTTGCTCGCGGAATTTCCATCGTTTTTACAGGTTGAGATATTCGCGAGAATAATAAAAAAAAAAAGGGGCGGGGGGGGGGAGAAAGAAAAACGCGGCGATAGAGAAAAAATAAGGAGGAAAATCGGTAGAGGACGTGTCCCCGTAATAAGTCGGGTAACGTAACGAATTTCAATCGAACTACAATCAAGTAGATAAAGGGAGGAATGACGCGATATTCGGATCACGTTTTCCTTTAAACCTTGGAAAGGCCGAGGCACCACCACGCCCTGCCCCGATCGCCGAGTCGATTATACTTCGCGCCCGATTAATGTATACACGGTGATTCGAGAGAACCGCGTTTCACGCACGAAATCGCGTAAATTATTCCACGAGTGTATGTTGGAGTTTGGGTGAAAACTGAACGAAAGCCAAAATTCGGCCGGTTCGCGTAACTTGGGATCGGGTTAAACGACTGTTGGGATCGCGTGGTGTGTTGGGGAGAGGTCGAATTCGAGGGAGCGAAACGAGAGGGAAACGTGAAACGAAACGAGCGAATTAGAAAGGACACGGTAGCTGGCGGTGGAGAGTGCAAACAGGTCGATCGGATTGGGTTGGGTACGTGCGCGCCCGCCGCTGTCTCTTCGAATCGATACTTATTATAAAAAAGCGAAACAATGAAATTTGTTTCATTGGGGGAAAAAAAAGTGCATACGGCAAATAAACTGGGATACCATGTGTCCCATTGAAATGTATAGTTTTTCACCCGGTATTCAATTTACGAATGGACAATGCGTATCGATAAATAAACGTTTACAAATATTGACCATCAAAGAGAGTTTCTGTTCTATCCTTCCATCCGTTGTTCTTTTTTTTTTTTTTTTTTTTTTTTTTTTTTCCCCATTTCATACCCATATAACGTGTATAGATCCAAAAATGTGTGTGTGTGTGACAGAGAGAAAAGAATAAGAAAAAAAAAAAAAAATCAGAAAGAAATGCGGGTTTCATCACGCAACCGATTAATTTAGTCTTGGTTGGTGCATCGCGATAAATATTTGTTTCATAAAAGCGCCGTTTTAATTAAGCCACGTGCATTTCTATGCAGCGCGCTGTTCCCCGCAGTCTTCCATTCGATTTACATCCCGTTTAAATTATTATTAAAGTCCGTGCGCGCATAATGTAGAAACGGTTGCGCGACCCGGCCGTCTATCTCGGAGCCGCCTCGTCACGGAACAAACTCTTTAGAATTTAATGAATCGGAAATGAGACACGCGGCCCAACCATTCATACGTGTATTTTGAAAGGAAAGCCTCCCGTCTCGTGTCACTGATACGCGAACCATGTTTACCGCAGTTTCCCTTATCCAAACACGAATCGCGCATCCCTTCCGAAACTAAATTTCTCTCTACCCGTCCCGCTCATTCCGCAAACCCACCGTCCACCCACGAGTTTTCGCCTCGATCTTCGCCGAGATCTCGTCTCTCGCCGGCTGCTCTCCGCTCTTTCTTCGTCTTTGGCCGAATCCATGCGTGTTGCGTAACGAAATTTCCAGAATTTCATTTCGTTCCTTCCCACACCGTCCTCACCGACCTGTTATATTTGCCATCCTCGCGCGCCCGCGCCACCGTGTTGAATGAAACTCCACAGGAGTGGAGTGAACTCGTGTGCAGGAGTGGTTCTCGAATAACCGAGCGAAACTTCGTCAATCCGTGTATCCCACGCGCTTTAAGGAGGAAACACTCCAAGGGTCCAACAACGTGTCGAGATATGCAGTTTGTACTATTAGAGACTATCCTTTGAGAAATCATGTTCCCGCTATTAATAGCTCTCTCTCTCTCTTTCTCTCAGAACTGTAACAAGACAGCGATACGGTTCGGTAATGTAAATTGTTTACAAAAAGAGACTAATCGGCCACCGATTAATAATAGTTCGACAGAAATAAAGAGAAATTTACTTTCTTCGAAATATTTTCGTAATAACCGAGTGAATGAAAATACGCGTGTGACAGAGTTTCGTGAAAATTGGTGCACAGTCGATCACAGATTATTCGGTGGCACGATATTT